AGTTCAGGCTGACCTTGAACTCACTATGTAGCCCAGGCTGGCCTGAACTCACAGCAATATTCCTGCTTCAGCCTTCCAGAGTGATAGGATTACAGGCATGCACCACCATGCCTGGCTCCATCAGTGCCTTTTTTTGTTTTGTTTTGTTTGGTTTGGTACCAGGAATCGAACTCGGGACCTTGCGCTTGTGAGGCAGGCGCCAGAACCACTGAGCTAAATCCCCGGCCCTCCATCAGTGCCTTTTAAAAGAGCTTTTTGATATTATCCACTATTCATGGATTTTTAAATTTGTTTGTTTTTAAGTTGGTTTTTAATTGATATGGCATTCCAGTAATTTAGACAGTTCTTAGACTTTATTATATATTTAATTCTCACAATAGGAGCAAAATATTAATATTTAAAATTTTTTTATAATGGTCTAAATGTTGAATATTTAGTGTGTTTTGTTACTACTAAGAATAAAGAACTATTTTCCCATTGATTTTTTTTCTAGCTGCATGTCACTAGCATATAGGACTCCAACTGATTTTTGTAAATTTATCTTCTTTCTCACTGCTACCAGATTGAGGATCTTATCCAGGTTCTTGGTGTCCTGAACAAGGAATTGACCAGGAGTGGCAAGATTAAAGATTTATTGAAAATGAAATTATACTCCATAGGTAGAAGAGCTCACAGTCCCCGAGGAGGCTTGGTGTTGAGGGTTACATTAGGATAGAGCTGGGCATATTGGCACATACCTGTAATCCCAGCAGTTGGGAGGCTGAGGCAGGAGGATGGTCATGAATTTGAGGCCAGCCTGGGCTACATAGTGAGTCCAAGGCCAGTCTGAACTACATAGTAAGACTCTGTCTCAAAAATAAATAAAATAAACATTAGGGTTTGGGGTAGGAGTGAGGAGTTGGTCTGAGGCTTTAGTCTTACTAATGAGCCACTTGACTCTGCCCCTTAGTCGGGTGGTGGAGTTTTTGACCTTTTATGGCCCTTGGAGAAATTCTCATGGTGCCCAAAGCCCATGGTGGGGGTGTCAAAACTGCATTGCTAATGACATGGTAATTAGGTCCAGGGTTGGCCAAAGGCTGCTGAAGACCACGGGGTACATGCCCATAGACTAATTGTGTATAAGCTGGCTTGGCTAGTTGCTTTCTTGTTTTGTATTTAGACCTGGATATCTTGGGCCTGGGTTAAAGTAACTCAGAAAGTGGATCTGGCCCAGAGAGCAGGCTCCAAGGTGCCCCACCCTCACTAGCTCCCTCCTCCCTTAACCTACCCCTGAAAGACATAATCCTCATTGGTCTTTATGAGGTATTCAGGGACTTCTGGTCTCTTCTGAAACTGTTTCCGGCTGAGAGGGCTACTGTTCCTGCCTACAGTGGATTATGGAACTCACCCTGACTGACCTAAGGGTTGGAGCAAGACGCTGGTCCACTCTTATGTGGAGTTTTATAATATAGGGTGTAGTCTGGGGAATAGGGGAATAGAAAAGAAAAGCATCCTTACGATCCAAGACCGAGAACCAATTGTGTCTCCTGGAATCTGGGAGAGAATTTTACAGTATATGGATCTGCCACTAGAGGGTGTATTAGAATTGTTGCCTCATTAAGGAGATGGCTATCTTCTACATCTAATATTCTCTTAAGGGTACCCCTGGGAAAATCGGGAGGTTGCAAGGGAATTGACAAAGTCACAGAAGGCCATGTTTGAGAAATTGTGAGAAGTTGAAAACCTTTATGGGCCTATTCTTTGATAGGGTATTTTCATCAATTGGGAAATTGACTGGGATCGTTTAGTCAGCATTGCTCTCCATGTTGCTGATTTTGCTCTTCTGGGGGTTCTGTCATACCATGCAGCAGGATCTACCCATTCACTAAGCAATCCAGGGAGGTTTTATGTAGCCTCAAGAGGCAAAATCTGCTTTGGCCTCTGCCAGAATTGAAGGACAGCCTCTATTTTTTTTTTTTTTTTTTTGTACCGGTGATCGAACTCGGGTCCTTGTGCTTGCAAGGCAAGCGATGGAACCACTGAGCTAAATCCCTGGCCTCCTAACAGCCTCTAATTTTAACAAGTCTCTTCCCATAAGGCAGTAGAGTATTATGGAACGATTAAGAATGCAGAGCTGGGGCCAGGGATTTAGCTCAGTGGTTTCATTGCCTGCTGCACAAGCACAAGGACTCGAGTTTGATCCCCAGTACCCACCCCTCCCCCCCCAAAAAAAAGAATGCAGAGCTGGGCTGGGGATTTAGCTCAGTGGTTCTGGTGCCTGCCTCACAAGCTCAAGGTCCTGAGTTCGATCCCTGGTACCACAAAAGAAAAAAAAAAAAAAAGAATTCAGAGCTAAACACTTGATCTTCAAATTGGCATCTCAAAGCAGGAGTAAAGAGCCCTGGGGATTAAGCTCAGTGGCACCATGCCTCCCTGCAAGCCCAAGGTCCTGAGTTCAATCCCCGGTACCAGGGGGGAAGAAAAAGCAGGAGTAAAGAAACTCTGACTGGGGTTTCCTTCCACCACAATTATGGCTATAGATGTAGGGAAGGGTTTTTGTTAAAACCAAGTAAGGGGCCCCCATATCAATAAGGAAATAGATTTGCTTACCCATGACATCCCTGGCTACCCAGAGTTCATTGGGAATGATGGAGATGTTCTCAGATGGGCACTACAGATTGCCCCAGGTTCCCTTAGCCCTTGTCCACTGAGTTGACATTTAGAGTTTTTGTCAGTTGTGTCAGTTGCATCCCTCTCTGGGAACTCGGGCAGTTGATCCTCCAATGCTACAGGTCAAAGTCAGCATCTTGACATACTAGGTTAGACCCAGGAGGTGGGATTAAGAGGTGCAAGCCCAGGGATCGGATTCTTTGTGTTTGCCTTTGTTCTTGCCCCCACCCCTATTTTATCTTTGAACAATTTGGGCTTTAGAGTCTCACTGATTACAGCAAGCACTAATTTTGCCTGCCTCTGATCTTGGCTTCTCTCCCTTTTCCCCTCTTTCAGATCCCAGTTGTTGAACACAGAAAAGGTCATATCCAGCCAGGCCAGGCCTCTGGGTCCCATTTGTAATGTTTGTAGCTTCTGATGAATATCAGGGGCAAACTAGCTTATGGAAAGTTTTCCCCCATATGAGAGCCCTTCCCTCCTGGGACGACAGGTCAAGATTAGCGTGTTTTCAAAAAGCTTTCTCTAGCCAGCTATGAAGGATGGCTGGGTTTTCTTATTTTTCTGGGGCAATCTCTCTGATCTTTTCACAGTTTACTGGTTTTCTGATGCTCTTTTTCATATCCTTAACAAGTGCCTCGATCATTTTGGACCCTTGAGTCATTCCTCTCACCATATTGTATCCCAGTTTGGCTCTAAGGCAGAATTGTACCCTTCCCAGGTTGATTTCTCTCTATGCTATTAGCAAATACTTCACTGGTATGGCTCTGGCCTGTTTCTGGTACTCTTTGTTTCTTGATTGGTGTGAGCTGGCAGCTAAAACAAATCCTACATCATGCCAAGATAGAGCAACAGCCAAAGATAAAGTTTGAAGCCCATCTGCAGACCTAGAAGGATCTTCAGAAAATTAGCCTAAGTGCTCTGATATTGTTGGACATCTGCAACTGTAAAGGGCACTCAGACCGTTCCTTCCACCCAGGCCCTCTCTCTCAGAAGCAGGATAGGTTGTGACCTGGGAGAGTAAGAGGCTCCGGTTCCATATGTGTCTGTGGGGCTTAAAGCTGCCTCAGGGCCTAAGGAGGAGGCTGAGGGCATTAGGTGTCTCTGGGGAGTTGGCTGATGATGAGGTTTCTGAGTCACTTGGGGAAGGTGGCACTAGTGCGCTGACCTTAAGATTATAAGGAAGGGTCACATTTGGTACCCCTGAGAGACATGTGGTGGCCTAAGAGGAGGTCATCAGTAAGTTCACTGTCTGGTTCAGGAGCCTTTTAAGGGTAGTATCTCTTTGGCCTGTGCAGAAGAAAGGTTTTTGATAGAGGGCCATATAACAGCCCAAACGTAAGGGATTTGGGACCATTTTTCCTTGCCTTTTGCTGAAAAGATCTAATTAAAGAATAGTATTTAATTTAAATTGCCATTTTCTGGCCAATGTTTTCCATTCCCTAGTTCATACTGGGGCCAAGCTGCATTCCAACAGAAAATAAGTTGCTTCAGTTTGTAATAGCTAAATCTTGGAAACAGCCCAAATGCCCACCAAACAACCTGTGGGTAAAGATTTTTTTTTATACAATGGAGTACTACTCCGCCATAAAGAAGAATGAGCTTCAGACATTTATAGCTAAATGGATGGACCTTGAGACCATACTCTTAAGTGAAATAAATTGGAGACTCATGTTTAAATACCGCATTGTTTCTCTGGTATGAGAAACCAAAAGTGGAAATGAGGACTAAAATGTGTAATACATATTGGAAAATGGGAAGAAAGTGTTCAGATGGGAAGGGGAACAAGGGAGGAGGGAGGGAGAGAGGAAGGAAGGAACAAGAAAAAAAGTGAAAATAGAAGGAAAAATGGAAACAAAGCTTTTGTACATAGGGAGGGGAGGGGGGTTGGGGGGGGGATAAAGTAAAATTTATTTTAAAAAAGAAAAGTTGCTTTTCTCAGATTATTGGGATCAAGTGGTTTCTAGTTATGAAGGACCCACCCTAAGAGGTTGGTGACATTGGCAGGATGCTTCATGCTTCATGGGCCTATGGAGAGGAGAGAGAAGACCAGGGTCCTTCCAAGGGTGTCCTCACGGCACGATTGAGAGCTGGACACTGACCTGTGGGGTGTCCCTCTAGCACAGGGGTAGCAAACCTAGGGCACGGGTGCTGCCTTCATATCATTGAAAGGTCTAAAAGGTTCGCCATCACTAGAGCTCAGGTTTCCTACCAGATGTCTCTGGGAGGTGGGTAGCGCCAGTGCCCTTTATTCTTTGTGTCTGTGACCTGTGCCCCTGAACAAGGGCCTGTAGGCCAAGGTGGATACCTTGACTATATGTTTTTATCCAATTTGGGGGCACTCTTTATCCCAGTATGTAGGATGGAGAAGATAAAGGAGAAGATGGTGCTGAGAGTCACACCCAAGATGGAGTGCTTGGCCTGGGAAGGTGGGTCTCTGGATAATTGCATCTAAAATGCCGATAGGCTTAGTGGAGAGTGAGAAGATTTTGACAGAATCTGGTCTGGGCAGATTTTAAAATGGGACATACTGGGCATGGTGGCCCATTAAATCCAGATGCAAGACTCCTGATGAGTACCAGACCTGAAAGACCTGCCAGGAATGAGAGCAGAAAGGGCAGTTTGGAAGAGAGTACTGCTGAAGGTGAGGAATAACAAGAGCCATATCAGAACCCCACACAGTGAGGACCAACTGTCTGAAACGACATTAGACAAAGGCAGGGACCAAACAAGGGAAAGGCATGTTTAGAAGGTCGCACACACACAAAACCAAGAACTGCATCCTGTGTGGAGTTGTGTTTGCCAAGTGGAACCGAAAACGTTCCATTCCATGACCAGATTATCCATCCTAGTCTTCCAGTGGCAGATACTTTAGCAGCTTTTTCACTATCTGACCCATGCCTGCCATGAGCCACCAGAAAGGAGGACAAAGTGGCTCACTCACCAAGATAATGTTAGCGGATTGGTAGTCTTTTCCAGGTTTTCGATGTCCTGAATAGGGAATTGACCAGGAACCCCCAAAAAGAGCAGCATAATCAGAGATTTATTGAAAGTGAACGAAAAAAAAAAAGTGAACGTACACTCCATAGGGTAGAAGTGGCCAATGCGAAGACCTCACGGCCCTAAGGAGGATTGGCTTTGGGGGTGGAAGCATTAGAGATTGTGGTGAGATTTAAAGGGTTGGTCTGAAGTTTCACTTTTGCCAATGAGCAGTTTAACTCTGCCCTTTAGTCAGGCAATGATGTTTTTGACCTTTTATCGCCCTTGGAGGAACTGTCATGGTGCTCAAAGCCCACACAGGGTGGGGGGCCATCACTACAGCATTGTTAATGACATGGTAGTTAGGGTCAGGGTCAGCCAAAGTTTCCTGAAGACCACTGGGCACATTGCTGAAGGCTTACTGTGTAGGAGCTGGGTGTCCTGGTTAATTTCTCCCTTTGTATTTAGGCTGAGATATTCTGAACCTGGGTTAAAGTTTAGCTCAGAAGAAGGTGGATCTAGCCCAGAAAATGGACCCCAGGGCAGACCTTCCTTTCTCACCCTGGCCATTCTTAGTTAGCTGTCTCCTACTTCATTACCACTGGTCTGAACTCATGTATTACTTCTAGTAATTTTCCGGTTGATTTGTTTGGATTTTCTAGGTAAGACATCACATCTTCAGAATAAATTGCTTTGCTGTGCCTTCTTTTTTCATATTTATGAGTCCAGTTGCTTTTCCTACTGAGATAAGAGCCACCAGCATCCCTAAAGCTAGTTCAGCAGAGGACGTGCGAGGGGGAAGTGAAGCATGCTGGGACATTGGCTACATGGCCCCATCATGAATCAGGAAAGCAGGCTGGCATAGGTAAGTGACTGGCTACAGCTTCCTGGACAGGTCTTGCAGACAGTATCCCTAAGGAAGTGATGCATCCTGGAGAGGTCGAGGCTGGTGGAGCAGTGGGATGGGCCTAATGCAGAGGGAAGAGTGCTGGAGAGGGAAGTCAGGTGTTTTGGTTGTGGATCAAGGTAGGACTCCAGCCTGTTAGGCAAGAAAGCCAGGTCAGAAGCAGCAAATCAAGAAGAATGGACAGACTGACTTAATTGCTGGGCACAGATGGCTACAGAGTTGGATTTGGGCAGCCAGAAGCAGCTGGTAGAGCCGAGGTAGTCCCCTACCCTCTACTGTGGCCTTGGACAAGTTGGTGGAGCCAGTTGGTAGAATAGTGGGAGCCAGCAGAGGCAGGGCCCTTCATCTTTTCTTCTTATTTTTTAAAAATGGGTTGATTGTAGCTTACTCTACTGCTAAGTATCATGCTGGTATTTGGGTCGAGATTTGTATTCATTAACATGTTAGTAAAGGCCACCTCCTCCTTGCCACATTCTCTTTTTGTTAAAGTTGTACTGCAGAGCAGATGGTGGTACCTCATTGTACCAAATGACTTCTCAGTGTCTATTAAACAGTTTGATGATGATTACTGTTTTCCCAGTTAATGCAAAAAATTATCTTGGAAGGAGTGAATCTGTGGCTGGCCAGGCCTGGTCAGGTGCTCATCCTCTCCGGCTGCCGTGCCTGACTTTGGGCCACCCAGTACAAGATACAGGGGAGGGATAGTTCCCCAAAGCAAAGTCAAGGTGTGCCCTCCAGTGACAGTGGGCAGAAATTACAGATGCGCAGGACAACCTGGCCTCAGCACACAATGCTCTCTGTTTCCAGTCACCCTGGGAAGGTCCTTTGATTCTGTGGTTCTCTGTGAGGACAGGAACAGTGCATAACAAGGGCATAGTCAGTGTTACTTGAATGACTGAGTGAGGGAATAAATGACGGGTGGTAAGGGGACCCTCCTGGAACTCAAGAGCCCAGCCCCTCCTCTGTGCCCCCTAAATCATGCAGTGTGTAAGCTTCTCAGGCTGCCAGGTGACAGTGTGAGGGTAGGAGGGCTTTAGGATCCGGGATCTCAATAATCACAGTCCATCTCCCAGCTCTGACCTGCAGGCTCTGGGACCTTACTGTGCGCCTCTGTGACGTGGGGGCGCAGGACTCCTGTGGGTGTGAAGGGGATGGTGAAGCATTTGGCACAGGGCCCAGTGCTTCCTGAGCACCTTATTTAGGGAATGGCATTGTGGACTTTAGGGACCTTTAGAAGAGGAATAACTGCATTGGTTATGGCTACAAGGGCTCTCATGGAGGAGGGACAAGTTTCCAAGTTCAAGGGGGCTTTGTAATTGTGCTCTTCGTCACTGGTGCACCTGCTGCTGCCACCAGGTGGCCCCAGGTTGATGCTAACGGTGATGGAAGTGACAGTGGAGAGGCCGCAAGAGCAATTCTTAGGAATTTGGCTTCATCTCTTCCTGGCAAATCCTTAAGCTTTCTGGCCTCAGTTTCTCATCTGTAAGATGGGACTAGTCTACCGCCTTACCACCCTGAAAGCACCTGATCTCCTCTGTAAAATGGAGCTAATAATAGAAGCTGCTTCATAGGCTTGTGAAATGTAGATGAATTAACATCCTCGGGCCCAAGATCAGAACACTGTCTCAGACCCTGCTCGCTGTCTCCCAGTGGGAGATTGCTGAGTCCCTGACCCTCCCAAGCCCTGGTTTCTTGCTTGGTTAAACAAGGCCAGTAACTTCCCTGCCAGGCCTGGGCAAGGAAAAAGGAGGCAAATTTGTGAACATGCCCCATGCCCCTATCCTTTCTGGTGCGCAGGACCACCTCGCACCAGCCCTCCTCCCTCCGCCACAGCCTCCTGTCTGCACGCTTCCTTCGGGAAGAGAGGTGTTAGTTATGAATAAGGACCTAAATCTTGTATGAGGCTGCCCACCCCTGCTTTGTACTGCTGTGCTTGCCAGGAAAGTTTGTCTCTGCAGAGAGCTCCCTGGGAATGAACAGACTGCAAGTCTCACTGGCCAGCCATCCTGCTGTTTCGTAAGGAATTTCCCCAACTGACTGGGGCCCTTTGCCTGGGGCTGGTCACCCTGACTTCCAGGGCTCCCTCCAAGGAGAAAGGGCAGTACCGGGGACAAGGAAGCCGAGGCATGGGCAGCCCTGGTGCTCCTTGTCCCCACCCTGGTCAGGGTGAAGGGAGGCTGCAGCCAGCTGGGGGAGTCTGGAGGGGGCCGTCTTCTTGGCTTGGGAAGAGCCCACCAGAACCTGCCCTCCCCAGGGGCAGCCGTGCGCGGAAGCTGTGTCAGCTGCTGGCCGTGGGGGTGGGGCGGGAGGCCTGAGATGGCCTCTCTCTAGGGACCAGCACACACTGCTACCCTCCTCTTGCCCAGATTCCATTTTTTGCTGCAGAAATGGCCCATTTAGTGTTCTGTGCAAAGGAGTAAAATTCTTAATGGTGACAGTGCCACAGCAGGGAGTCCCACTTGGTGTGTGAAGAATCCTGGTCCTGCAAAGAAAAGGAAAGCATGGGGGATAATGGGGCTTGGGGTACCGCACAGTGGTAGAGCAAGTGCAAGGCCCTGGGTTCGATCCCCAGCACTGCATAAAAAGAAAACATTCTTGAGAAGGCATCATGGCCAGGCAGGTGTAGAAAGGTCACCTCCTTACTTCTCACATTAGTCTAATAAAGGCTTTAACTAAAGATGTTGGCCCAGTGTGTCTCACGTGTCTCAAACTTACTGATCCCCCCACCACCCCACTTTCTCCTTTTGTGGTGCTGGGGCTCAGCACACTAGGCAAATGCTCTGCCCCTGAGCTGCACTGCCAGCCCCCTTTTATCAAGTGATTCCTTGACTGTGCCTAAGAAATGTCCTCCTGAAGACCAGGGGCAAGAAGCCCAAACTCTGGGCACCACTGGCTTCACTGGGGATACTGGGCCCATGATCCCCTCTGTGCCACACAAGGAGAGTAGACGGGGAGGGGCTGGACCGCATTTATCTGTGCTGCCCCCGTTGGCCTGGGAGATCCTCATGGTGTCCCGTGTCCCCAGCCAGCCTGGCCAGGAAGTGTGCAGTGAATGCCAAGATCCTGAGGGACAGACAGGCTCCTGGCGATGGCTCCCTCAGGCCCCATACTGGTGGCCCTGTCAGGGCCAAAGGCAGCTCCCCTGGGGTGCTTGTGGGGTTCCTGTGTGAGAGAGACCTTGTAGTGGGTAGGACATCATCGAGCTTCCCCTGCAGGCTCTGCCCAGGTCTGCCTAACCCTGCCAGGTGACAAAGAGGAACCTGACTCATGCAGGACATTTAGAAGTAGGCAGGAGGTCGTTAAGCCTCTGCACAGTTTTCCCCAAAGGTCAGGAGCTCTCAAATCTGAGCTCCCTCAGTTCCATGGCACAGACCACCATCCCATTTCACAGGGGAAAACGCCGAGGCTCAGGGAGGGTGGCCTTCGCCAGGGGCTCTCTCTGGGTTTACGAGGAGGCCATGTTTCTCCTCACCTAACTCAGAAACCCCATTCTGCGTCCCCAGAACCCGGAGTCTTTCTTTTGTTGTGTTGACAGCAGCAACACTGGAATTTCCGGCTGGAACCACCAGGACTTGCTTTGTTTCGGAAGCTGAACCTCCACCCTTGGGGGCTCAGGCGTGTCCTGGAAAGTGGGAGAGCTGGTGGGGAGACCTTGCGATTTGAGAGTAGGGGAGATGTCGGTGCAGGGCTGGGTAGTCTGGGGCTGAGACTGGGCCAGGGTAGGGTAACAGAAGGAGGGTGGGCAGTGGAATGTGTGGGGTAGAGGGGCAGGGTGGGGCCGAACAGCCTGGAGCACTCTATTCTTGCAGGCCCATTAATGTGATACAAACCCCAGCACCACCGGGAGTGAGCAACACTGCGGGCCAGGGAATCAGAGGGGTCAGCAGAGGGCCTCTGTCAGAGGCCAGAGCTGGATGGCTGATGGGGGTGCCCTCCTGTGGTCCCTGGAGCTTCATACCTCCCCTGCAAAAACAGGGTTCAGAGCCAAGCCTAATGGCACATGCCTGTAGTCCCAGCACTTGGGAGGCTGAGGCAGGAGGATCACCATAAGTTTGAGGCCAACCTGGGCTACATAATGAGGTCAAGGCCAGCCTGAACTAATAGCGAAACCCTGTCTCAAGCCCCACCCTGCAAAAAAATAGGGTTCAGAGATAGCATCCCTGTCCCTGTCCAGTAAGCTCCCTGTCCCCATTGCAAGGAAACCTGGGTATACCTTGACCTCAGCACCCCAATTTCCTTCCTGCCCTAGCACTGCAGATTCCAAATAGAATTCACAGATTGGACTTCCCCTGGACCCTGCTTCAGAATTCAGGACAGGAAGCTAGGCATGGTAGCACATACCTGTAATTCCTGTACTCAGGAGGCTGATGCAGGAGAATCACGGCAAGTTTGACCGTAGCTTGGGCTACATCATGAGTTCAAGGCCAGCCTAGAATACAGAGAGACTGTGACTCAAAAAAACAAAAAAATTCAGGACAGATCTGTAGAGGTCAGCCAGAAGTTTGTGGCCAGAGCTATGGTCGGGGACCAGTGACATTGTCATCTCCTAGGAGCTGCTCAGAAATCAGCCTTGGGTTCTGCCCAGGCCTGGGAGCCAGACCTTGCATTGAACAGGGCCCAGTGGTGCCCAGGCAAGCCTGGTCCAGGCCATAGGAAGCCCTGAGCAGGTGTCTTCCAGACTCCCCAGCCCATGGCATGACCCAGGCCGTGTGATCTGCCCTGGCAGACCTTGCAGCATGGGTGAGACCTGGACTGTTGAGTGGACTATGAGCCCTGGTGACAGATGGGTTACAGAGAAGGTGCCCCTGGGAGGTGCTGTCCAGACCTGTGACTTTTCTGAGGCCCTGAAGCCATGAAGACAGAACCTCAGGTTTTCCCTCCAGGTGACATTCCTTTAATCATATCAACATTGAGCACCATATATAGGGAACAGGAATGAGGACATTACCGTAGACTTC